GTCGCCCAGGTCGCGCACGAAGGACTGGTCGATCTTGAGCTTGTAGATCTGAAAGCGCTTGAGGTGGCTGAGCGACGAATAGCCGGTGCCGAAGTCGTCCATGGACATGCGCACGCCGCGCGCGTGCAGCTGGTCCATGGTGGCCACGGCGGCGTGGGGGTCGTCCACGGCCACGCCTTCGGTCAGCTCCAGTTCCAGCGAATCAGGCGGCAGGTTGAATTCGGTCAGCATGCGACTGACCAGTTCGGGCAGCTGGGGTTGGCGGAACTGGATGGCCGAGAGGTTCACCGCCATGGTGAGCTGCGGAAAGCCGCTGCGGCGCCACGCGCTCAGCTGTGCCAGTGCCGTGCGCAGCACCCATTCCCCGATCTGCAGGATCTGTCCGCTGTCTTCCGCGATCGGGATGAATTCCGCTGGTGATACAGCGCCCAGCTGCGGGTGCTTCCAGCGCAGCAGGGCCTCCACGCTGTGCACGGAGCCCGTGGCCAGGCTGATCTGCGGCTGGTAGTGCAGCTGGAACTGCTCGCGCTCCAGCGCGCGGCGCAGCGCGTTTTCCAGCTGCAGCGCGCGCACGGACTGGGCCTGCATCTCGCGGCGTGAAGAAGCGGAAGGTGTTGCGCCCGTCGAGTTTGGCCCGGTACATGGCCACGTCGGCCGACTGGGTCAGCGTGTCGAAGTCGGCGCCGTCCTGCGGGAACAGCGCAATACCCATCGAGGGCGCCATGGTGAGCTCGTGGTGGTCGATCTGGTAGGGGTGGCGCGATGCCTCCTGCAGCTTACCGGCCACGCGCGCTGCGCCGTGCGCGTTGGCGCCGGGCAGCAGCAGGATGAACTCATCGCCACCCAGGCGCGAGACCGTGTCCTTCTCGCGCACCACGGCCCGCAGCCGCTTGGCGATTTCCACCAGCAGCACATCACCCACGCGGTGGCCCAGCGAGTCGTTGACGTGCTTGAAATGGTCCAGGTCCAGGAAGATCACGGCCAGCGGTGTGTTGCCCTGCTGGGACACGCGAATGGCCTCGCTCGCGCGCTCGGCCAGCAGTGCGCGGTTGGGCAGGCCGGTGAGAGCGTCGTAGTGTGCAAGCCAGTAGATGCGGTCCTGGTCGGCCTTGCGGTCGTTGATTTCCCGGTGCAGGTTGTCCACCGTCTCGCGCAACTCGCGCGTGCGGTCCTGTACCTGCTGCTCCAGCTCTTCGTGGGCGCGCGCCAGCGCCGCCTGGGCCTGCTTGCGCTCGGTGATGTCCATCGTGATCCAGATGGAGCCCTGGGCCGGGTCCGCCGGGTCGATGGATTTGCTGCGCACTTCGCAGATGACGGCGGTGCCGTCCTTTCGGCACAGCTCGACCTCGCCTTCGTAGGAATGACCCGCCTCCAGATTGGGGTAGCAGCGGCTGCCCACCTCCTTCCAGGCCGCGTCACTGGCATACCAGCGGCGCGAAGGGCTTCCCATCAGCTCGCCGGGCTCGTAGCCCAGCATCTGTTCGAAATGCTTGTTGCACCGGGTCAGGCGACGGTCGCGCAGGAAGACGATGCCCACCATCGCGCTGTCGAACAGCAACTGCTTCTCGCGTACCGCCGCGGTTAAGGCAGCCTGTGCACGCTTGTGTTCGTCGATGTCATCCACTATCCAGATGGAGCCTTCGGAGGTGTCCTGCGGGTTGATCAGCCGGCCCGTGAGGCTTCCCCAGAAAAGGCTTCCATCATGCCGCCGCAGCTGCCGCTCCACACGAAAGGACTGGCCCTGCACCAGCACGGGGTAAGCACTGCGGCCCAGTTCGCGGAAGGCATCGCGGTGGGGATAGAAAGCCTCCGTGTTGAGGCCTACCAGGCGCTCGGCGCTCGCGTACCCGAATATCTCGGCATACCGCTGGTTGCAACGCACGACGCTGCGCTGGCGCAGGAACACGATACCCACGCCCGCGCTGTCGAGCAGGGTTTGTTGTTCACGCAAAGTGCGTTGCAGGGGCGTGTCGGTAGCAAACACCGGAGGCTGCAAGTCCGGGGTGCTGTACGGCGCAGACATGAAGACCAGTACGGGCGATGGGCCAGCTGGCCTCAGTGATTTGTAGCAAAGTGTAGCAGCGGCGCGCGGTGAGCCCAACAGGGGCTATCCCGCATGTGCTCTGACCGCAGCGAGTGGCCTCAGGGCCGGGGCAGGGCTCCCTGTGCCAGATGCTCGCGCAGGTAGGCTTCAAACGCCGCGGCTGGCAGGGGGCGGCTGAAGAGGTAACCCTGACCTTCGTCGCAGCCCTGTTGCCGCAGAAACTCCAGCTGACCGTCGGTTTCCACGCCTTCGGCGGTGGTCTGCATGCCCAGCGCCTGCGCCATGCGGATGATGGCGCTGACGATCGCGCGGTCGTTGGCATCGTCTTCCAGGTCGCGCACGAAAGACTGGTCGATCTTGAGCTTGTAGATCTGAAAGCGCTTGAGGTAGCTCAGCGACGAATAGCCGGTGCCAAAGTCGTCCATTGAGAGGCGCACGCCCCGTTCGTGCAGCTGGTCCATCATCGCCAGCGCTGCGGCTGGGTCGTCCACAGCGGCGCCTTCGGTCAACTCCAGCTCCAGCCGGCGCGCGGGAAGGCCTGCCTGCTGCAGGCAGCGGGCTACCATCTCCGGAAGCTGTGGATGGCGGAACTGCACGGCCGAGAGGTTGACCGACACGGCACGCAGTGGCAGTTGCATGTCCATCCAGCGTTTGGCGTCCTGCACCGCCGTGTGGATCACCCATTCGCCAATCGCGACGATCATGCCGCTGCTTTCGGCCACCGGGATGAACTCGGCGGGCGACACCATGCCCAGCTCCGGGTGGTGCCAGCGCAGCAAGGCTTCTGCGCCCATCACCTGTCGGGTCTCCAGCGACACCTGGGGCTGGTAGTGCAGCTCGAACTGGTTGCGCTCCAGCGCACGGCGCAGGGCGTTCTCGATCTGCAATGCGCGCGCCGTACGTGCTTCCAGGTCAGCGGTGAAGAAGCCGTAGCGATTGCGCCCACTTTGCTTGGCGCGATACATGGCAGCGTCAGCGCGCTGATA